ATCTCGCCGACGGTTTTGGCCGCGTTGTCGGCCCGTGGAGCGCCGGGTCAACTCGCTGAAGGCGTTTCCCCACCGCTCCTCGACACGCTTCACCCAGTCACTTTGCCCGTGCCGTGTGCGGGCCGGGACGCAGAGGACGCTGGCTGCGGCCGCTCCAAGTGCCCCATCCTTTGAAGTCCAGCAATGCGCAGTGGCTTCCTTTTCGTCGCCGTCCGGAGCAAGCACCACTCTTGTTCCCCATGCTCATGGGTGTGTATCCCGCGCGGTCGACCGACGCAGGCTCGCCCGCGGTTTTGGCCGCGCTGCCGGCCCGCGACGGACAGGGTCGACTGGCTGAAGGCGCCGCCCCTCTGTCTCAGCTAGCTTAGGATGGCTCTGGCCACAGTTTGTGCCTCCTGGGAGCAGAGGCACCACGCCGCTATGGTTCCCGCGGCCCCGTGGGCGCTCTCGCCTGCCGTTGGCTGAAATAACCCCTCCCAGGCTCTGCTCGTGAATGCGGGCCGTGATGCAGAGGCGCTGGCTGTAGGCCCTACCTTGTGCTTCACTGTCAGTTCGTGACGTGTGCCCACTGGCCTGACCCTCATTGATTGCTTGGTGAGTGGCCGGCTTTCGCGCCGACGTTCACGCGCTGGGCGCCGCGTGAGTGGTTCCGCCACGCTTCCTCCACGGTTGCGCTCTTTTCCTTCGCTCGCGCCTCCCTGCCCCCCCCCTTCCGGTGGCCGGTCGGTACTCCACCTGCGGGTCCAGCCTGGTTTCCGCCTACCCAGTTGTGGCTGCCCTCTTCTGCTGGCACACGCTCAGCGGCTTTTGCCTGGGTCTGCGCTTTCTGCAGAGCTTCGGTTCGGCCCCACCTGCGGGTTGGCCTGTGCTCGTTGGTTGCCCAACTGTGGCCGCCTCTCTTTCTAATTTGTTTGCAGGTGCACTCTGCGCGGTCTCGCGCCAATTATCTGTCGCTGTGCCCCAGCCTCGGTCATGCCGCCCTCTGGACTTCTCCTTGCGGGCCGCGAATCAAAAAAACGTATCCCCAATGGTTGCGACCTGCCTTCGAGCACGTGGTGCTCCGTGAGTGAGGCTCCCTTCTTCCCCCCCCCCGTCCTGTCGCCCTGCCCCTCGCCGTCCGGCCTGTCGGGTGCTGGCGCCTCTGTGCGACGCCCCGTTCGCTGTCGGTTTCCCTGGGCTTGCTCGGCATGCTTGCTTGTGCGGCCGGCTCTCGTCAGTGGCCGCTCCGCAATTCTATGGATTTGTTCCCCCGTCTACCCGTTTTCTTCCCGCGCCTCTTCCCGGCCGACGCTAAGATGCGTCTCCGCCAATTTGCTCTGCGTGCTTGCATGTGCGGTCGGTTGTCGACGGTGACGGCTGGGTTCGCAAATTATTTGGCTCTGTGCCCCAGTCTGCCCGATTGACCCGCCGTCTGGACTCTTCCTTGCGGGCCGCCGATTTTAAAAAATATCCCCAATGGCATTTTGCTAGGCTGCATGTGCCTGAGCTTTCCCGCGCAGCCCCGCGGTTGCTTAGTGAGTGGGCCGGACGGCCTGCGACGCGTTTAGTAGCTAATTAGGCCGTTGCCGTGTCCCGGAACGCTTCTGACTCCGCTTGCGCTCTCGCTGGCTGACGCGACCGAAAAAGTATCCCCAATAGCCCATCCATCAAAAACGCCCTGTCGAGTTGTCTTCAATCAGGGAAGTGGGGACCATTTATTGCAACAGCGAGCCCGGAAACCTGTTAAAGCAAAGTTTCGGATCAGCCTGGGCAGACTCAGGAGTGAAATGCACGTGCCTTCGCGGCCCTTTCGAGCGAGGAAGGGCGGAGAGAAGGATGGAGCGGAAGGAGGAAGAGGAATAGGAGGAGTAACAATGATGGAGTAGTTGGAGAAGCAAGAGGGGGAATGCGGAATGTGAGCAGACGGAGGGTGAGCTTGATTGAACGCGGTGCCACGCAGTTTCTGATTAGCCTTGGTTGGGAGAAGAAGGAGGAGAATGAGGAGGGGATAGGAGGAGGTGGCGGAGGAGGGGGAGGAGGAAAAGCAGGATGCTGAGCTGGGCACGGTCCTCTCGTCGCAGTTCGAGGCCGTACTGGCCTCGGAGGGGGGCGTCCTCGTGTCTGGCGCGGCCCTGGGGGGCCCCTGGAGAAGGGGATCAGCGAGATGGGAAGGCGCAAGCAGAAGCGGTGGATAGAAGCATGCAGAACAGTAGCCGAGTCGGTGCGTCTCAACGGCAGCAGCCAAGCCACCAGCTTCCAGTCGGGGCAATGCGTTCTAGTTTTTTTTTAATCCCTCCAAGGTCTCCAGGGCCCAGGACATCTTTTCGGGGGGTGAACTTTTCAGGGGGCTCGTAGCCCGTGGAATTGTCTCGCCCGAGGTGCTCAGTTCGCCCGCCCGTCAGCTTAGCACATATGCCGAGGTGCCTCTCACTGGGCCGCTCTTCTTCACTCCAGTGATATTTGCCCCACGTGCCAAATCAAGCTCGAATAGTAGACAGTAACGCGTTGGGGCGGGCGGGTGGTGGTTGTGGGTCACGGGGTTCCCGTGGTTTTGGAGCCTGCCCCTTAGGGCTGCGTGCCCGTTTCTGGGGTGTAGGTAGGTCAGTGCCGCTCTCGCGGAGTGCGCTGGTCATTCCAGTGACGATGTTTGGGGGTTGCAGGAGCTACCCTATTCAGAGTCCTTGCTCTCCCGATGATTGGTCGTCACGTGTAGCGCTGCAGTCAGGTAGAGATTCGTTCAGAACTCCCTGAGCTATTTATCCGTAAGGGCTTCGCCCCCTGCCGCCGGCCCCCTATCCATCATAATGGGATATATGAACGTCGCGTCAATGCCTGTCGGCGCTGCCTTGGCGCATCTGGGAGCACCATGCGGGTGCGGATAGGAATCATCAGCGCATATTGAGACGTTGGCATTATCCGAGTGGCTTTCGGCTCTTCCGCTACGGTGCCTGGGTTGTGGGTCTGAGGTCTCTTGTATGCATGTTGGGGTGTCGTTGGGAGCCTCTCGGGGGCCTCTTGGGGACAGTTTAGGCGCTTCTTGAGGGCCTCTTGGGGCCTCGTGGGGCATATTGTTGGGCCTCTTGGAGGCTTCTTGGGCGCGTCTTGGGTGCCTCTTGGGGCCTCTTGGGGCCTCTTGGCGGCCTCCAGGGGCCTCCTGGGTGCTTCTCGGGGCTTCTCGGAGCGCTTCTTGGGCAATCTTGGAGCCCTCTTGGGCCGTCTTGGGGCCCTCTTTGACGCGTCTTGGGCTGCCTTGGGGCTGTCTGGGACCTTCTTGAGCCGTCTTGGAGCGTCGGAAATAAGAAACATGCGAGAAGGCCAAAATCCTTCAAACACCTCAGTGAAACCCGCCATTCTGACCTCTTGGGGCTCTCTCGGGAGGCCTTTCGGAGCGCTCTTGGGGCCTCTTGGGGGTCCTCTTTAGCTGTCTTGGAGCGACTCTCCGTTATTTTTACGAGTCCCATGTGTTGTGCATGCTCGCGGCGCGGCTCGCAGGGGGCCCTCCTCTTCTGGCTCCTCCTCCTCCTCTCCTCCTCCTCTTGCTCCTCCTCCTCCTCCGTCTCCTCCTCCTCCTCCCCGGGAGTTCAGAGCACGCGATCCGAGGGTGGTAAATTGCTGATTTGGGGCTCCCGCCCCTGGCGCGGACTCCAACAGTTCACAGCGGGAGGCAGAAAGCATAACCGCAACATTGGAGACTCGAATTTGCAACTGGCGCAGGGAGCAGCAACCTAGCCTTACAGCCTGGTGGCCCCACAAGGTGGCCGTCGGATTGATTCAGCCATCCATTCATTCCTCCTCCTCCTCCTCCTCCTCCCCTCCACTTCCCTCTTCTTAGGATGCAGCCCATGGGGATCAGTTCAGTGTCGGCGCTGGGATTTCTTGGTCGAGAGCTGGCCAAATCTGGCATTGTTCCGCTTCGCCCAGCCCAGTGCCGTTCAATTCTGCTTGCCATCCCGCTGCGGTCGACCTAATCAGCCCTGCTGGCCTCTTCCATGGGGCAAGATGCCCCTCAGTCGTTCTCACGAAGACATCCCAGGAGTTCTTCTCTCAGGACTCATCCACCGTCAAGATATGCCCACGTCCATCGCTGCGGAGCCGTGCTCTGGGAGCCCGATGAGCACTGGGTGTGGCTACTCTCTTGGCCTCAAGGGCGGGCAGCCTCGACATCAATGTCCATCGGGAGCCCCCCAACGGTGCGGTGACCACACCGTGCGGTGAGTCGGTGGGGATTCGGGGTCACCGCACGGGTTTGGGATTCGGGCCGTTCTCCGAGGACGTCTCGGGCGACAGGGGCCTCCGAGGTCCCCAAACCGTGCGGTGACGGACCGTGCGGTGAGGTCTTGGGGGATTTCGAGGTCACCGCACGGCCCGTCACCGCGCCGTTTCGGGACTCCCAAATCCACTACCCCCCGACGTGCTCAGCATCCAGCGCGGTGGATGTGGATATGTCCTGGCGGTGAACCCAATCGATCCCTCCTTTCCTCGGCAGAGGCGGAACGACACCACCCCACCTACGGCACCAGGGGCCTCAGCGTATACGAGAAAATCAGGCGTGGGTTTTTGCGTGGTATACGCTACGGCGCCCGATGGGCCGTAGCGCAGCATGGAGGACCGTGGGTGGGGTGGTGTCGTTCGGTTTTCGGTCGATTTCTCCCCTCCATCCGGCACAAACGGGAGCAGTGGAAGATGAGGAAGCACGTCAACGAGGATACGGATGGCGACGAACAGATCGGCAGAACCTGGGGGCCACGGCCTCTCCGCGCTGGCCGCCATTCGGCCCGTTCCCCCGGGGACGTTTCGCGTGCTCGCCTCACCTCCTCCTCCTCCTCCTCCTCCTCCAAATCTCCTTTCTCCTCCTCCTCCTCCTCCTCCAAATCGCCTTTCTCCTTTTTCTCCTCCTCCTCCTTCTCCAAATCCCCTTTCTCCTTTTTCTCCTCCTCCTCGCCCTCCTCCTCCTCCTCCTTCTCCTGGTCCGCGCTGCCCACCCGGCGCGCGCTCCCGCGGCTCTTCGCCCTGGCCCGGAGGTTCATACCGCCGCCCGACGTCCCCGAGGAGCAGCGGCGCGGGGCTCAGCCGACCCCGGGCGGGCTCGGAGGCGGCTACCTCCTTGTCCCCCTACCGCCTCCTCCTCCTCCTCCTCCTCCTCCTCCTCCTCCTCCTCCTCCTCCTTCTCTCCTCCTCCCCCCCTCGTCCTCCTCCTCCTCCTCCTCCTCCTCGTCCTATCCTCATCCTCCTCATCCTCCCCATCCTCCTCTTCCTCCTCCTC